CCTGGATCATATAGCACCTACAGTGTGAAAGCATGCCATTTGGCCCATCAAGGCCACACTGACTCTCCAAACAGTATTCCACCCTGCCCCAATCCCACCTACCCTATCCCTGTAACCCTACACTTCCCATGGCTAATCAACCTAACCTGGACTGTGAGACGAAACCCATGTGCAATCTTTACACAGACAGTCACAGGAGAGTGGAATCGAACTTGGGTCCCTGGTACTATGAAGCAGCAGTGATAACCACAGACCCAGCGTGCCACCCTTGAATGACCCCAGGCCTGATTTGAGTGAGGATGGGATGGAAGGTCATGGCAATGGGAGGTGAGGTTGGCGGGGAGGAGGGAGGGTTGAATCAGATGCAAGGTCAGGGACATGGCATTCCACAGCAGCCACCCTCTTCCTGATCTCAGATTTCCTTTGATGGGGCATTGAGTGCCTTTGAAAGTGGGACCCCTGAGCCCAAGAAGGTCACATGCAAACTCAACAGGCCTCTAGGAGCATGGGCAAATCACTCCACTCACAATTAACCCCTGATTTATCAGTAAATTCAGCTGGACTAATTCAGGAAAAAAATTGGTATCAATTGGCAGCTTCATGAGCATAACGGACAACTGACAGCGAATGGTTAAGTGGAAGATATAATAACTGCTGACCCGGCCAGAGATGACCATACGTAAAAAATATAAAAGTTATGTTCTGAGGTAACAAGGTGTAGAGCTGGATGAACACAGCAGCATCAGAGGAGCAGAAAAGCTGATGTTTCGGGCCTAGACCCTTCTTCAGAAATGTCTAGGCCCGAAACATCAGCTTTCCTGCTCCTCTGATGCTGCTTGGCCTGCTGCGTTCATCCAGCTCTACACCTTGTTATCTCAGATTCTCCAGCATCGGCAGTTCCTACTATCTCCAAAAGTTAGGTTCTGACTGACAGATGGCACTAAATGACGCAACAGTACCACTTTGTTCGGAGTCAGAAGATTGTGATTTTAAATCATACTTGAGATACTCAAGTACACAACCTAGGCTGACCCTCTAGTACATTACAAAAGGTATGCTGTGTCGTTGGAGGTACTGTCTTCTGAATGTGACAATAAACCTTGTCTGTCCTCTCAGATGGTCATAACAGAACCATCAGCAGCATTGTGAAGAAGAAGAAAGGAGTGTGTTGCTAATATTTATTCTTCAATTAGCATCAGTGAAGATTGTAGCATTGTCACTGTAGCATTGTTGTTTGTGGGATTTACTTGTGGGTAAATTGACTCCTGTGTTTCATAAAATACAACATTATATACAGTAGAATGCTTAATCAACTAAAAAGTGCTTTAGGACATCATAAAACATCTGTTGTCCCCTTTCTTCTCCAGCTAAAGTGTTCAGGTAGCCCCAAAATCAGGGAGATTCTACAACAGTCGTTCTGGATGTATTAATTTGAATGGGCTGAATGATTTTTTTCTCAGCCATAGTTTTTACAGTCATAGAGTCAATGAATTATACAGCACAGAAACAGACCCTTCAGTCCAACTAGTCCATGCCGACCAGATAACCTAAATTAATCCAGTCCCATTTGCCTGCATTTGGCCCATATCCCTCTAAACCATTCCTATTCATATACCCATCCAAGTGCCTTTTAAATGTTGTAATTGTACCAGCCTCCACCACTTCCTCTGGCAGCTCATTCCATACACGCACCACCTTCTGTGTGAAAAAGTTGCCCCTTAGATCCCTTTTAAATCTTTCCTCTCTCACCTTAAACCTGTGCCATCTAATTTTGGACTCCCCTATCCTGAGGAAAAGACTTTGACTATTCACCCTATCCACACCCCTCATGATTTTATAAACCTCTATAAGATCACCTCTCAGCCTCTGATGCTCCAGGGAAAATAGCCCCAGCCTACTCAGCCTGTCCCTATAACTCAAACCCTCCCACCCTGGCAACATTCTTGTAAATCTTTTCTGAACCTTTTAAAAATAATTTTCATTTAACTTTCTTAGCAAAAGAGTCAGAGGCGAGATAATGAAAATTTAACATAAACAGCAAGTTGTTTTGATTCGAAAGGTGCTGTCCATGGCTCCTTAGACAGCACCTTCCAAACCCACACCACTTCCATCTGGAAGGACAAGGGCAGCAGATACATGAGAAGGGAAATTTTCTGAAGAAGGGTCCAGACCCGAAACGTCAGCTTTCCTGCTCCTCTGATGCTGCTTGGCCTGCTGCGTTCATCCAGCTCTACACCTTGTTATCTCAGACACATGAGAACACCACCACCTGCACATTCTCCTTCAACAGGCTCCCTATCTTGACTTGGAGATATACCACTGTTCCTTCACTCCCACTTGGTCAAAATCCTGGAACTCTTACCCTAACAGCACTGTGAGTTTTTCTACACCCTGAAGACTGCAATAGCTCAAGAAGGCAGCTCAACACCCCCCACTCAAAGACAACTGGGCAATAGGTGCTAGACCAGCCAGCAATGTCCACAACCCCATTGTGAATAAAAATAGAATAAACTTCATGTAAAGATGGTGGGAAAAAAAATCTTATCAAATATAGGAGCAAGTTCAATGGGCCAAATGGCTTACTCCTGCACCCAAACAATATGTTTGTTTTCATTTTGTAATTCACTTGTGGGACGTGGGCATCGCTGGCTGGGTTGCACTTATTGCCTATCCCTAGCTCACCACCACCTTCTCAAGGGCAACCATGGATGGGCAATTGTTTCTAACCCAGGCAGTGGCACGCACATCCATGAGTGAATAAATAAAAAGCAATCTTCAATAAAAAGACACTGGATTAATATTTGAGAAAGAAAGACTTGCAGGGCTACGGAGAAAGAGCAGAAAGTTTGGATATTTTGACAATTCCTTCAAAGAGCTAGCACAGACAGGACAGATTGAATGGCCTCTTTCACTGATTAAAAATTATTCTATCAACTTCATAGGAGTGTCCGTTCTCCTAACACCTGAATTTGGAGATTAAAACTGCATGCTTTCTGGAACTTTCTCTCACTTATTTGCAGCTCACATCAAGCAGTGTAATCTGGTAAAAACAAACACAAGTTGAGAGATTTGGTATTTTCTTGCAAGAGGAGAGCAAGGTGAAAACTGTTTTGATAAAATTTGTGACCTATCGACCTTTTCTCACAATCTTTATCATTTACAGATTAAAATGTTTTACCTGTGCTTTGTGAATGTAACTTTTCTTTCAAATTGAAACAAAGGAATTCCAGAAAGTTGAATAGAATAAGACTGAAATTTAACCATGTCAATCCAAGCATAAATTAGACAGAGTCTAAATCAGTTCCTGAAACTTAAACGAACAGCAAACCAGGGATTAACTCTCAGTCCCACGAATATTCATGGTCCCCAGTACTGCTGCAATCAGTTTTTTTTCTAGTACAGTATCTGAGTTTACTAAAAACCCTTCGAACTACAGTAGCTCATTCAAATTAGTCCATGTCATAACGGAGGGAGTGAGAAAGCAGATTAAACAGGGGTTAGACACCTCTCATGCCTCACCTTTCACAGGGTTGAGGTCACCCAAACTGCCCATGATTTTGTTTTTGTAAACTGCCCATGCCCTAAACTTGCACCCAGGAAGAGTCACCGGACCCGAAACGTTAACTCTATTTTTTCCTTCACAGATGCTGTCAGAACTGCTGAGCTTTCCCAGCAATTTCTGTTTTTGCACCCAAACACAATTCATCTGCGACCTCTATGCCCACTGGATAAGCAATGGGATTTCAGAATTAACAAAGTGTAGAGCTGGATGAACACAGCAGGCCAAGCAGCATCAAAGGCTCTACACCTTGTTATCTCAGATTCTCCAGCATCAGCAGTTCCTACTACCTCTGATTTCAGAATTGTTGTTTTTAAATTCTTTAAAGGCTTTGCTCCTCCCTGTCTACGTAATATTATTGTAATTAGAAATCTCTACTTGGCCAATTCCAACATCTTGAATTGTAGGTGTTCCCAGCAAGACCAACCTTTCCTGCCCATCACTAATTACCTTTGAGGAGTTGGTGGCTGAAATCAGTAGGGTGTAAGTAAATCTAGAGCATTGTAATGAAGGAGCTTCAAGATTTTGAGCCAACAACAATAAAGAAAGAGTGCTTCCAAGTCAGGATGGTGTGTGGTTTGGAGGGAAACTTGAGGGTGGAGGCATTGAATTGTTTTTATTGCCTGGCTGCACCTAGTATCACTATGTTACTGTGCAATTTTGTTTAGCACTAAAGCAATTTGAGATGTTTGCATTGAGGGAAGTGTGTTAACAAAATACAGATCAAGTATTCCAGTTTTTAATCACTCCGCTGCAGGGGCTGTGCCTCAGGTACTGGGGTCCTAGAGGTGGCCAATAAATACTGGCGTCACCATTGATACCATAATCCTGCGAATGAAAAGAAGTCCAAATCCCTTGCCAAAACCTGCTACCGGTCCCCCTCCCTGTATTTGTTATAATCACTCCTTAGCAGTGCCCAAACTGTAGTGACTTCTTTTGATATTTCATCCAGAGCCACATGTCAACTTTCGTTGGTTAGGAGAATTTCAGTAACTTACCTTCTATCCTCCTCATTGGTGATGGTGAGGAGGAGGGTGTGACGTTGGAAAAAAAAACCTAATAATTTGCAAAGTATGATCCCAAAGGAAACGGATTAAAATAATTTTTTTAAAAACTGTATTTGATTCAACTGGTATGATTGCCCAAAGCTGGATTATATTATAAACAGGCTGCACAATATAAACCATAGTCCCAAAAGGCTGATCCAAAGCAGTGAATCGTAATTCCATGCCATTAAAAGTGGACTTGATTTATGCCAATATTTGTAATCCGATGGACTCCCTCGGCTGACTGTAAACTAATGCAGCTAGAATTGTAAAAAGCCAATTCCAGAGACAGAAAGACAATGCAAACGCTGAGAATGGGGGAAAAGGGGAGGTTAGAACATGGGAGATTATTAAACAGGGACAGTACAGTCCCTGGCTAATGGTAAAAGCCTCACGTTTTCTTGAAGACGCCACCAATGATGGTCCCGACGAGGACGCAGAAGTTCTGTGCAAAGAAAACCCAGGTGATCTGTTGCAGACTGGAGTGGGTCTGACAGCGGAGATCCAGCAGGGTCGGTCCCAGGAAGGCCATGCAGAGCCCGAAGGAGCAGAAGGCGCTCCACAGGGTCAGGGTGGGCTGAAGGTTCCGCTTGAAGAGTCCCCAGCGACGGTCATCCCACATCTCCCAAGGCACTGAACAGAAAGAGCAACTCAACACAATCAACAAAAGCTGGAGTGTGAAAGTGCCCCGGTTTTGAAATTACAGCACTGGCTCTGCTCTGTTGCTACTCAGAGAGTAAAAGACTCCACCTCTTCAGCAGGTTTCGAGTATATCAGCCAGCCGTCTGAGTTTTATACTCTGCCTCTCACAGGTATTAACCCATTACTCACACACCCCTCCCTCATCCTCCAGCAAGGACTTTGCACTGTGGCACTCTGATGTAAACCAGCGCCCCCCACCCCTGGGCAGCAAGAAACCAATTAATGGTTTACCCACCGCGGAGGTCAGTTACTAAGTGGCTTTCATAATAAAAATATTGAGCAAGGATTCGAATTCCAGTTTTCTTAAAGTTTTATTAAACAGCGAGTTCGGTTAAACGCATGAGCAGCAGTTAATGTTGTGTTTCACTGCAGTAAAAAACGAGAAAGGGAGCCAGTTATAGCATAACGTTGGGGGCGGGGGGGGAGCAGTTTGATTTTTTTTGTCAATCTCAAGTAGAAGCGTGTCCCCACCCCCGACAAAGCCAGCATTTGTGGCCCATCCCTAACTGCCCCTTGAATTGAGGGTCTTGCTAGAGCTATTTTCAGAGGGCAGTTAAGAATCAACCACATGGCAGTCGGTTTGGAGTTACGTGTAGGTCACACCAGGTGAGGATGGCAGATTTCCTTCCCTGAAGGACATTAATGAACCAGCTGGGGGTTATAACCTGGCATGGTGGCACAGTGGTTAGAAATACCACCTCACAGCACCAGGGACCTGGGTTCAGGTGATTGTCTGTGTGGGTTTCCTCCTGGTGCTCCAGTTTCCTTCCACAGCCCATGGATGTGCAGGTTAGGTGGATTGGCTGTACAAAATTGCCCAGAGATGGGTGGGTTAGCCATAGGAAATACAGGGTAGGTGGTGGAATGCTCTTCAGAGGGTTTGATGTGAACCTGATGGGCTGAATGGCCTGCTTCCACAGCGTAGGGATTCTGTGAAAAAAATCTATGAATCCCTCTAGTTTACAGTTGCAGTTGCTTAACTATCTGATGTTGCTAATTGAATTGAAATTCTACCAGCTGTCCTGGCAGGAGTAGAACCCATGCCCCCACAGAATATGGGCAACTAAATTATTTGCCAATCTAGTGACATTGCTGATGCAACACTGATCACACAGCGGTGCAGATTCAATCAGAAGTACTGATTGAATTACAAGGCTAAAATCCCACTCCAGTGACTTGCACATTAAATCGGTGCTGATTAAATACAAGCTCACTACTGAAGAGGTGCTACACTGTATAGTCTACTGTCTTTTAGCTGAAACCAAATACTCAGTCCTCGTGTGTCCTTGCGAATGAATGTAAAAGATGCCATGCACTAAATTTTTTAGGAAAAAAGCGGAAGAGCCCTCTGGTCAACAGTTATCCTTCAGAGAATCCCTACAATCTGGAAGCAGGCCATTCAGCCCATTGTGTCCTCACCGATCCTCAAAAGACCACCCCACCCAGGCCCATCTCCCTACCCTATACTTCCCATGGCTAACCCACTTGGCCTGCACGTAATGGTCAATCCACCTAACCTCCACATCTTTGCGCTGTGTGTGGCAGGAAATCAGAGCACCTGCAGGAAACCCATACAGAAACAGGGAGAATATGCAAACTCCACATTCACAGTCACTTGAGGCTGGGATCAAACTTGGGTCCTTGGTGCTGTGAGGCAGCAGTGTAACCACTGAGCCACCATGCAACCCCATGCCCTCAACCAATTTAGTTTGAACAGATTATCTGCTCATTATCCACTGAGGTGCATTCAGGAAATGTTGACATCCTAGCAAGGTCAGCAGTTGTTGCCCATCCCTGACTGCCGTAGAGAAGGTGACAATAAGTCATCCACTTAAACTGCTGCAGTCCAAGTCATGTAGAGGCAGCCACAGGGCTGTTAGGGAGGGTGGTCCCGGATTTTGACTCAGCGACACTGAAGCAACAGTGATATATTTCCAAGCTAGGATGGTATGTGGCTTGGAGGGGAGCTTACAGCTTTTGGAGGTTCCATGCAGCTGCTGCCCTTGCTGTGTGCAAATTGACAGCTGGGCTTCCATGGTTACAACAACAACTGCACTTCGTGGCATTTTGAAGCACATTTGGTTGTACAGAGATCGTGAAAGAAGTAGATTCCTTCATGAAATGATGATGCAAACCAATGATTTTCTTTTTTCCTTGGACTTTTCCGAAACACCTTAAGGCTTCTTCTACATAAGAAACAGGACTCTCATCTTCTCAAGTCTGCTTAACTACTACACAGAATCATGGCTATTTTTTTAACTCAATTCTGCTTCCTTGAACAATCTATATCTGTCTGGATTATATTCATTGGAGTTTAAAGGAATGAGGCCACTTCAGCCTGAGGTGAGGGGAAATTTCTTCACGCAGACAATTCTGTGCCACAGAAGGAGGTTGAGACCAAAATGTTGAATGTTTTCAAGAAGGAATTAGATACAGTTCTTAGGACTAAAGGGATCAAAGATTATGGGAAGAAACTGGGAACAGGGTATTGAGTTGAATGATCAACTATGATCATGTTGAATGGACACGAGACTCGGAGGGCCAAATGGCCTAGTCTTGCTCCTATTTTCTATATTTCTATGTCTCACACATTCATTCCCCAAACACCCAAAACTCTGTCTGTCTCAATGAGAAGATGTATGTTTCAAATGCTACTCATCCATTGATCAATGTCTTGTCTCACTTACACTCACTGTCAGTTTTGTTTTGTTAAATAAATAGCAACACAAACAACAGCAAATGCAATTCCGATGTATAAGAATTGGGGTTTCTCGCGTCCTTCATGGACTCTCTTCCCTGCCCCTAAAAAGCACACATTCATGCTGGCTCCTGCTTCAATGACAAAAGGCACAGCATCCAGTAACTCATCAAACAGTCCACTTGACCACATGAATATTTGATCGCAAACCATCATTCAACCCAAAGAGTCCATGAATTCCACTTTTTAATAAACAGGTACGTTCCTTAAAATAAGGAATATTATGGAGTGGATAGGGTTGCAGGATTTAGACCAGCACAGACCTGATGTAAGAATGAATTATTCCCTTTATGTGCAGGGACTCGGACATTTGACTATGGAGGGCATCACAGCCAAGAACAGTCAGGATTTTGGCTCACCTAATGTTCACACAAGTACACTTCCCATTTGGAAGACATAGCAAATCACAAGGGAGTATTCTAGTTAGTTTTTCTCTGTAGTAAATAGTAAATGCAATATAATTCTGCTATCTTTATTCATTGCAGCATTTCCTGTTTGCCTTCAAATGGGAACAGTGCAGAAGAATAGAAATCACTCCATTGTGTCTGAACTTGATATAAATGCAAACCAGAAAAACAACCAAAAAGTATGACAAAAATACAGGAAATGTTTTGTTGTGTGCAGGAAGTGTCTGATCAAGGTATAGAAGTAACTGCCTTGCCAATTGATCTCTCCTGCATATTACAGAGTGCTAAGGTGGATGCCATTACTAATCCTAGTGTCAGGTGATGTAGTTGGGACTGGTCATTCACTGTGAGCTGTATCACTGAGTTATGTCTTCACAATCTTGATCTAAGTGGGAGATGAAGGCCTAGTGGTATTATCACTAGACTATTAACCAGAGACCCAGGTAATGTTCTGGGTTTGTGTCCTGCCATAGCAGACAGTGAAATTTGAATTCAATTTTTGGGGCTGCACGGTGGCTCAGTGATTAGCACTCACAGCAATAGGGACCTGGGTTTTATTCCACCCGCAGGCAACTGTCTGTGTGGAGTTTGCATATTCTCCCCTTGTCTGTGTGGGTTTCCTCCCACAGTCCAAAGATTTGCAGGTTAGCTGTATTGGCCATGCTAAATTGTCCCATAATGTCCAGGGATGTGCAGGTTAGGTAGATTAGCAGTGGGGAATACAGGGATGGGATGGGTCTGGCTGGGTTGTCTTTCAGAGGGTCGGTGTGGACTTGATGGGCTGAATGGCCAGTTTCCACCCAGTGGGGATTTTGTAAGTGACACTTATTTTACCATTGTTTCAGAAATAGTAGGAACTGCCAATGCTGGAGAATCTGAGATAACAAGGTGTAGAGCCGGATGAACACAGCAGGGCAAGCAGCATCAGAGGAGCAGGAAAGCTGACATTTCGGGTCTAGACCTTTTCTGAAGAAGGGTCTAGACCCGAAACGTCAGCCTTTCTGCTCCTCTGATGCTGCTTGGCCTGCTGTGTTCATCCAGCTCTACACCTTATTATCTCTTATTTTACCAATGATCTTGTTTCTGTTTGTGGGACCTTGCTGAAAGCAAATTGGCTGTCATGGTTTTTAACAGTGTCTACATTTCAAAAAAATACTTAATTGGTGATAGAGGGTCTTGTAATGCTCTATGGTCATGAAAGGTATTATTTAATCCAAGCCCTTCCCCTAAATATTCATGTTGCTAGAGAACATTTAGCAGTGTCACCATTTTTTGAGCAAAAATGTGTATGGTAATAAAGTGGAGTGGGAGGGGTGGTCAATTAGCTCAGTCGCCTGGACAGGCAATTTGTAATGCAGGTTTGTAAACCAGCGGCATGGGTTCAATTCTGTACACTCTGAGCCTACTGTGATGGACTCTGTTTCGCACCCTCTTTCCTCCCACCTGAGGCATAGTGACCCTCAGTTTAAACCACCACCAGTTGTCTCACTGTTTAATGAGCGAGCAGCCCTATCGTCTGATAAGACTATGCACATTTACTTTTAATGGAAACACTAGAGAAACTCAGTAGATCAGCAGCATTTGTGGAAGGAGAAAAACAGAGTTAACGTTTCGAATCCAAAGACTCTTCTTCGGAGCTAATATAAATTGTAGATCACTCCCTGTGTTTCTCTAGCTACTACACACTTGTTCCTGGCTTAGAGATTACTAATGAGAATATTGTTAGTCCCTGTGTCTCAATTACCAAACCATTTACCTATTGAGACAATAACAGAGTTTGCTAGTTAATTTTCTACTCAGCAGATCATTCTGGAAAGAGATTAACACAAATTTAGGGAATGATTTTTGATAGTTAAATCCTGAAATGGTTGACCGGTTAGACATGCACACCTCAAAAAAAAAGCGA